ATTTCCACAGTCACTTTAATTTAAACACACGCTATAATTCACAATACTTCATACACTTTACTTACGGTCACTACTGCTCACTTGACTCAATTATCTGTCTCTATATCTGTCTATCTGCAAATTATCTCTCTGCTTTATTTGCCAGGCTTATATACTAAAACAGAGGGTGCCTAGAAAAGACTAGAGTTGCCAGGAACAGTTATGATTCTTCTAGAAACTCCAGCACGCATGCTTCCAGAGTCACGTGACTTCCGCTGTCGTAACAATATTAAGTTGTCTTCTTTTCTTATTGGTCAGGTTATAGCATTCATCTGTGACTGGATTGTAATCCTGTTGATGCTATTATGTCTGGCATCATCTAACTGGTTAACTGCCGACAAGTTTAGACAAGGACTTTGGGAACATTGTGTGGATGAAGATGCCCCTTTGCCCCTTCCATTTCATCTGAAAGCCAAACCAGGTTGTTATGCAGCACGTTCTGTTGGTAAGTTTGTTGTGGTCTGTGCTATGTGTAAATATTTCAGACTAAATTGTTGAGTATACTCGCACTGTTTATGTTTTAATATTAAAACTAAGAATGCCTTTTTTCACACATTTTGAATTATCCTGGGGAGAAGTTACAATGATTTACTTTACATGGTCACTTGAAGGCTATTAAGAGGAATGAAAAGCTGAATATCTTGTATATCACAAAGTATATTATTTGGATAGGAACATAAAATTCTGAAGCTGGACAACCAAAAATGTTACACTGTAAGAGATAATTGTTTCTTTTAACTGTTTCAAAATTGATATACAAATTGCAAGATTTGAAACATGAAGTAACATTGGTTTCTAAATGTATTCAGAGTTAATCACATATGTCTTAAACTAAGATACATGTAGTAATTTCAATACAAGCTATATCAAAGGTGGACTTCTAAATGTACACTGAACAACAAATATAAATTAGTAAAAATTAATGAATGGTTCTTATGCATCTTATTAAATTCTAACTGAAATATGTTTATTGATTGGTTATTATGTGTATAAATATAAAACTGGTTATTACTGATTACTGACTGGTTAGTACATATCTAAATATACTGACATGCTATTATGTATCTGAAATACTGACATACTATTATATATCTAAATATACAGTGACTGGTTCTTATGTATATAATTATATTGACTAGTTATAATGCATCTTAACATATTAAGTTGTTATTACGTATCTAAATATAATTGCTGGTTATTATATATCTAAATATATTGACTTGCTATGACGTAATCTTATCATGACTTGACTTAAACCTTGAAACTCTGAATGAAGCATTGGGCTTCAACAACATTTATTATTGGACACAGTTCTTGGCTGCCTTCTTCATCTCATCCCAAGTCATTCCTACTGTTACGACAGCGGAAGTCGCGCGACGCTGGGAGCATCCGCGCTGGAGTTTCTAGAAGGATCGTGATTTAACGGGAAATCTCACGAATGTCCCAGCGTTTGCTAGACGGTCTTTTTTTTAGTATATAAGCCAGAGATAGATTGAAGAGGCGTAATTGAGTCAAGCGAGCGATAGTGACGGTAATATAAAGTGTGTGTTTTGTTATCGAGATTGCAAACGTATTAACTGTGGAAATTCTGTGTATTATAAAGTTGTATCGAGAAAGAATAAACTAGTTTTAATTAAGAAAGGACTTGTATCACTGAAGTTTCTCGTAAATAATTTCTACGGGAAATTAACAAACAAGCAGATACATAACAAATTGGTGTCAGAGAGTGGGACGGAAAAGAGAGAGAAAAAAAAGATATTTCATGGCAGCAATACAAGAACAGCAAAAGAAACAAGAAGAACGAGAAAGGAAACAAAAAAAAGAGATTACAGCAGTTGTTGGAGGACAAAGAAAAGAAACAAGAAGAACGAGAAAAGAAACGAGAAGAGAGGCTACAGCAGTGGTTGGAGGAGAAAGAAAATAAACAACAAAAGATACTACAGCAGTGGTTGGAGGAGAAAGAAAATAAACAAGAAGAAAGTATCCAACAATTAAGAGAAAGCCAGAGTACACAAATGGAAAATATTAGTAAATTTCAAAGTGAATTAAATACATTAAAGAACGATTTACTGTTTTTTACACAGGGAGTATATATATTAACGATGGACCTAATCAGCCCCAGACAACAGGAAGACAAACAAGAAGAGAGACTACAGCAGTGGTTGGAGGAGAAAGAAAATAAACAAGAAGAAAGTCTCCAACAATTGAGAAAAAAAAAGAGTACAGAAATGGAAAACATTAGTGAATTTCAATGTGAATTAAATATATTAAAGAACGATTTACTGTCCTTTACACAAGGAGTATATATATTAACCATGGACCTAATCAGCCCCAGACAAAAGGAAGCGTATATATATTAACCATGGACCTAATCAGCCCCAAACAAAAGGAAGCATATATATATATTAACCATGGACCTAATCAGCCCCAGGCAACAGGAAGCCCCTTCTAGACCCCACAACTAACCCCTAATGCAGACATCTTCAGTCCTGTCAGAAGTCACATTCCAGACACAAGTGTCAGCAATAGGGGTGATCTAGTACGAAGGAAGCCACAAGAATTCGATGGGAAGGCACCATGGGAAGCATATAGAGCACAATTTGAGTACTGACAGAAATGAATGGATGGACAGAGGAGCAGAAAGTAGTATATCTGGCAACGAGCTTGAAAGGACAACCACTGGAAATACTTGTACAGTTGTCAGCAGACGACAGGCACAACTATAGAGCACTGGTAGCTGCTCTAGAACTCAAGTATGGAACTCAAAATCAGTCCAAAGTCTACAGGGTCCGTGCTAAAGGAGAGAGCTTGCAAGAGCTGGCACAGGATTTGTAAAGTATGGCACACAAGGCTTACCCAACTGCACCACCCGATCTCCTCAAGTTGTTGCTGAGGGATCAGTTTGTAGATGCCTTGGACAGTCCACAACTAAAGATACAGATAAAGCAAGCACACCCCTCTACTATGCAGGATGAAATGGCCAGAGCTCTTGAATTTGAATCCTACGTTAAGTCCAGCACAGAGGTACCAAGGTTGGGACAGTCATCAGTATTTAAGCAAAGAAAAGGTCAGGATTTCAAAGAGGTTTGAGGGACTGTAACAAACCTGGGCACAAGAAAGCTCAATGGTGGAAACTTCAACTCAGGGAAGATGCCACAGCAGGAAAGGCTGCTACCCAGGAAGGTTGTTGGAACTGTGGAGAGCAAGGACATATGAGGAGCCACTATAAGAAGAATACTACCAATAAGCCAACTTCGGGAAACCAGTAGTTGTTGGTGCTGAGGGACGCCCACCAACCTCCATCGTGAAAGTCCCAACAGCTAAGTGTAAAATGGCAAGCACACATTGTATCTACGTGACAGGGAAGCTGGATGGCCAAAGGTGTGACTTTGTCATAGATTCTGAATCTCAGCAAACACTTGTGAGTATCAAGTTGCTGGATCACAAAGGAGTACCAGAAGCTGTACAGAAGCTCTGTGGTGTGACAGGACATTATGCAAGGTTGTGGGGACCAGTGTGGGCAACTATTGTGCTCACAAGCATGAAGGACAGACACAAAGTATACTTGGCTGCCATTGAAGACCAATGCATATTACACTTGGACTACTTACTACCGAGGAAGTTTGTAATTAATTTTGATAAAATGACGTTTGGGAACAACAAAGGCCAAATTCCAGTAACTGTTAAAAGAGAGGTTGAACTAACTAGGTGCCTTCAAGCTGAAGTCAAAGTGACTGAAGGAGTTGATGATGGTGAAATGGAACCAGGTATAGATATTAAATCAGAGCAGGAGAAAGACCAAGATTTGAAGCCAATAATTGATTTTCTAAAAGCAAGTGTTTTGCGCCCTGCTTGGGAGAAGGTGTCTAGTCTAAGCTCTGTGACAAAGAACTATTGGGCACAATGGGATCAGTTGAAGCTTGAAGATGGTATTCTTCTCCAGAGATGGGAAACTGCAGATGGGAAAGTGATGACCTGGCAAACAGTTATACCGAGAAGTTATGGAAGTTGTGCTGCGTCAATCCCATGATACTGTAACAGGAGGACATCTCAGACTTAAGAAGACATTGAGCCACCTACGACAGAGATTTTACTGGATAGGTATGAGGCAAGATGTGAAAGAATGGTGCAGGACGTGCAGTACATGTTGTGCTAAAATGGGACCCAAGCATAAGGGACGTGCTTCAATGAAGTTATATCAAGTTGGCGCACCAATGGAAAGAGTAGCCATTGCTGGTCCTTTGCCTCAAACTCGTGCTGGAAACAAGTACATTTGTGTGATGATGGATTATTTCACCAAGTGGCCTGAGGCATATGCAATACCAAATCAGGAAGCTACAATAGTAGCTTTGGCTATTAGTGATTTCTTTTTCAGATTTGGTATGCCATATGAACTGCATTCAGATCAAGGCCATAACTTTGATTCAGCTGTGTTCCATGAATGCTGCAAATTGTTTGGCATCCGAAAGACCAGAACAACGCCACTTCACCCACAATCTGATGGGATGGTAAAAAGTACAAAATGACTGGGATGTCTTACTCCCTCCACTGTTGATGGCCTATAGGACAGCAGAGCATGAAGCCACAAGATACACTCCAGCAAAGTTGATGTTTGGTCGGGAACTTCGTTTGCCAGTGGATCTGTTAACAGGATGCCCACCTTATGAAGAGTTGCCTGAAAAATAAAAGTTTGTGAAAGTGTTATGGGAAAGGATGGATGATATTCACCATCAAGTGCATTCAAACTTGAAAATGTCTGCTGATTCGATGAAGTTATCTTAAGATAAAAGATCTACTGAAGTCAGCTTTGTACCAGGAGACAAGGTATGGTTGTATAATCCCAGGAAGACCAAAGGGAAGTCTCCTAAGTTGTCTTCTCCACGGGAAGACCCATATGACATAGTGAATCGTCTCTCAGACGTGAATTTCCGGATAAAATGTGGTCGGCGAGGTAAGCCAAAGGTGGTGCATGCCAACAGGCTTTGGCGTCATCACGGTCCTGGACATTTCAGTTGGAAGAAAGTGAACAATGGAAGAATTGACGCTGCTGAATACGTGTCACCTGGAAAAGCCACTATGGAAGAAGAAACGCTACCCGGTTTTGAGAAGGGAAACGGTGAAGCTCTTGATGAAGTTACTACCATTGACATGACTGTTACTGATGATAGGACAATTCCCGATGGAGCAGATGAACCTCACGTGAAGCAGAAGCCAACGAGATGGAGGCCAGTACGGAAGAAGATACGTCCCGTAAAATTAAGAGACTTTGTTGAATTCTAATTTTGTGTTTGTAGTGTTTGTAAATTCTGTACCTTTAATTAAGTTATTGTTAACTATCTATTGGTTTAATGTAAGTGGTTATTGTTCGGGATGAACAATACTAAGGAATGGGCAGTGTTACGACAGCGGAAGTCACGTGACGCTAGTACCACGTCATGATATTCTCGAAGGTTCGTGAATGCTCGAGTGTTAACTAGATGTGCGGTATTCTTGTATATAAGACTGCCAAGAAATGACGGCAACAATGGAATTGAATTGCAGACAGAGATAGAGACAGACAATTGAGTCAAGCGCGTGAATCGTTCGTTGTGAATTATAGCGTGTGTTTATGTTTAAGTGACTTTGGAAATTAAGTGTATTGCAAAGTTGTATTGAGAAAGAATAAACTAGTTTTATTTAAGAAAGGACTTGTGTCGTTAACGTTTCTTCGGAAAGAATTTTTACGGAAAATTAACAAACAAACACAGAGGCGTAACAGTATATTGACTTGTTATTATGTGCATAAATAGAATGTTTATTTATTTTAAACATTTCTGGTTTGGTCAGGACAAAATTTGTCAGAACTTTTCAACTTTACCAGACACTCTCGAGATCAGAATGAGAGGGAATTGTTGAGATGTGTTGTCCTGTAATTTAAATATGTATAGAAATGTGAAGTTTTTTAGCAGATTGTTTTTGCAAATAATACCAACTTAGAGTTCTTGATTAGACGTCAGTTTGAATTTTGTTTAAATTATATCAGCTTCTAGCACTTGTAACAAATGTGATGATTTAAGTTAGACATAAAATATTGTTACGTCTCCGTTTGTTAATTAACTTTCCGTAACTTCGTTCCGATGAAACTTTAGCGACACAAGTCCTTACT